TGCACCCCGCTTGTCTTTGCACTTTATATAAGGTAGAAGTGTTCAACGTTTTGGTTTTTTATAGCCTCTACCAGACTTCGAGAGGCCTAGTTAGTCTCCACCAGACTTCTTCTGCGGGCTGAATAAATCGTAGAAATCGGCCTAAAAGGGTATTAATTGGCAAGAGAAGGTAGCCGGCCAGAGAAGCTCCATTGCCCGCCGAGTGGAGCTTCTCCGTCCGGCTACATTCTCTTGCCAATTAATACCCTTTTTAGGCCGATTTCTACGATTTATTCAGCCCGCAGAAGAAGTCTGGTGGAGACTAAAAGACCTGGTACAGGCACAAGAGTCATGCACTGAATTTTGTGACATTCAGTAATTATACAGAAAAACGGGCACATTCTCCAGGCATTGCTATTATTAGACCTGATTTACTAGGTCAATAACCTGGTGGTCGAAAACTGCGTACGTAGAATTTTTCCTGTGTGTAAATCGGCCTACCCACTGTAGAACGTACGTTTGTTTGTTTGTATGTTTGTTTGTTTGTTTTAACCGTTATTTATTGGAGGCCGCCTTTCATTCAGGTCATGAGGGAAGAGGAAAGGGTTAGACAAAAATATACTGAAAAGGTAAAGGTTATATCATCTTAAGTCCTAATAAATCTCTACACATATTTTACACATACATGGGACAAAAACATACACACATTATAAGAGTGAGAGTTTGTATATGCCGTATTAGTCTTGTCCATTCGTTGAGGGGTTGGCAAACGTGTTTTTTCGGTATCAGTTCTAGTTTCGACTGCCGCGTTTATAGCTCTGTTAATTAAGTTAAAAATCTGCAAGGTCTGATTGGCGAGTTTAGCCGTTGCCAAGGTACACAGTAGCTGTTTGTAAGAGAGTAGTTCCTGTTGGTAAGCGTTAATGATTTACTATATATATATATACAGGTGGTCGGCACAGTTGAAACTGGTTTATACCAGAACGTAGGGGAGGATCATTAGTGAGCGGGTAGGGCTTGGGGGCATGACGGGGGAGTTTCATTTTAGGCACACCTTCAATTTTGCTCCATGATGTAGCTTTACACAGTTGTCCTAAATGTATGTAGTGACATTAATATCATATATATTCATAATATAATACTTTAAGCGTAGTAGCGATCATTTTTTTTGTTCAATGTACATTGCAAATATGTCTTTTAAGTGTTTATCACCTCTTATTTCTGGGGTTTCTCACAAGTGGGCAAGAAAACTGTTGCAATGCATCCAATGGACGTGAAAGAAGATACGTGCAGTGAGATATCCATTTAAGCTAGTAGGTCAACTTGAATAGAGAACCGTCTCAGCTCTAGAAGTTTCGATTTCGATCCAAAAATTCACCTGCAAGACCACTCCACAAATATTCTGCATTTGAAACACACCTGCGATGAGATAAAAGATAAAGTAAGGTGTTTTTAATTTTTGTCCTATCGGCTGTAGGGCGGTTTTACCTTACGCGACCTTGCTGTGTGGTGTGTGTGTGCAATAGAGTCAACATTCCGTTCAACTCCTTACGTTTCGCTCTGCTGAATAGGTAAACAAAAGGCCAGAGAATGTGCTCATTTATCACGGCGAGACCATGACGTACCGACAGGTACCCCTCCCCTACTTTCCCCTTCCCTCGCCGTTACTCAAGACTGAAGTTCTGGTATCGTTTGGAGGGGGTTTTAAAGTTGGAAAGGTAGGTACGAGCGCCGAAACCGAATATAAGCAAACACACCGACAACGACGCAGTGACCCATGCGGTAACCTTTCCCCCCCAGGCAAATACAGGCACACTCAGGCCTGACCAAGGTCCAACTCGCGCGGCAAAAATACTCTCAAAAAGAGAGAGAAAGGAGAAAAACAGAATCGTATCCGTGAAGTTTTAACGTTGCCCTTCACAGGTTGTTGTTCGAAAAACATATTAAATGTTAAGTTGTCAATGTCGATTGAAGTAAATTAATTATAGACATTCTAGTAGAAGGAGGGGTGGCGAACGTTTAACGTTTACAAATTCCCAGTCGCCATGATCTGTTTTCAAGCTGTCCAGTGTCGTCTTCTGTTTTTCAACATTTTACAAGTCCACGCCACCCTCTTGAATCTCAGCACATGTACCACAAATCATGTTTAACACCCTGTGACGGGTTTTACTACCTGTGTTAAGACACTACTTAAAATGATTTGAATTTGAAATTTGGCAGAGGATCTCGGGAATATAACGCTATCTACAACCGATTCGTACTGAGATTAGCAGTTAGGGAATCTTACCTTAGCACCAAGCATACGGCTAAGCCCGACGTGACGTCCTAAGCCAGGTGAGGCAAAGGTGGGAAGAGAAAAAAATGTGGCCTGCGTGTTTGCGAGGCACCTCCTGGGGTAGGTCAGATCGAGGCTGCTGCACACGTCACCACTGACCTTTCACCTGCCTCCAAGGTTATTCAAGGTTACTGCTGTGACTGGAGCTTTAAGTCGGCAAACAGACACAGAAAATGCCGCGCAATC